TTTTAATAAAATGAAAGTACTCAATATACAGTAACCACTTATACGGAAAAAAAATCTCAATTTTCATTTATATACCATAAAAAAAAAAAAGCATTCTACATATGAAAAAGAAAATTCAATGAACTTATATTTAGAAATAAAAGTAGAGTAATTTGTTTTAAGAAAAAAAAAGTTGATCTTCATTTTATTAATTGTTAAAAAAATTTTACAAAAAGTTGATCTTCATTTTATTAATTGTTAAAAAATTTTTACATGATATTGATATTAAAATTAATATTATTTTTTATATTTTTTATTTAAATTAACAATAAATATATATTTACTGTACTTTTAATCCATATTCTGACACATAGTACAAAATCCCTTTTTTATAAACATCTATTGTTTTCAATTATATAAAAAAAAAATGAGATTAACTATGATTTTGTTTCAATGAACTTACGTGTGCTTCATCTGGTACGGATTTTTTAATGTCTGCAAAAGTGAATAACATATTGCTTGAACCGTCAATAACTTAAGTGTGTAATGATAATCTAATTTTAACAAATTTTAATTTGAGTAGCATAGATGTATACAATATAGAAAAAAAGGGGGGCGGGCGGATATTATCGTTTATATACAACCTAAATTCAAAATAGAAATAATAAAACATCTCGCTTGAACTCACAAAAAGATGTTTCAATCTTTTATACCATACCAAAGGCCTTGCTAGCGTTTCTAACCATGTTTTCATGAAATGAGTTAAAGAAAGTGTTGAACAAAACTTTAAAAGCATTTATACTTTAAAAGCACTTTTCATCCCTTCTATTTAATGTATTTAAAAATAAAAAGGTTTAGGCTATATGATAGTGATCAATAATACTAGGGTCAAACATAAGTTATTTTTATTTTGTTAATTGCATGGTGAGTACACTTCATAAGTAAAATATAATATAAATTAATTGCATTTGTCCATGTTGCACTATAAAATTTGTCGAGTGATTGTCTATTTTCTCCTTATCTTTATTATTATTTTTTATTAACAATATTATTTTTTATTAATAGACTCAAACTTTAGTAAATAGAGTATAAAAGATATTTCTACTCATTCAAAAGTACTACTTACATGCTAACATACATCATCCAAACAATAAATAATATTAACCGGGCCAGCTGACCACCCTATCCCTGCACATAACCACAACTCTGCAATATGGTCTAGGCCTGCACTTGGTGTTGTCTATGAAATTGCTTCTTATTGACAATACTTAATTCTTGAATATGAGCTACACACCACACTTATTTGTAAATTTTAGCGAGTCTGAATTATAGTTTTTGTCTTAAAATAATAATGTTTTTTAATTTTTTTAAATTAAGAATTTACAGATAATTTATATATTTGCTTATATTATTTTTAAAAAATAATAAAAGATAAAAATAGATTTTTTATGATAAGATTATTAATCAAAATAAATTGATAATAATATGGTTAAAGTAGAAAAAAAATATTTATCTACCCTAAAAAAAAAGATAAATTTAAAGTAAAAAATAATATATATATATATATATATATTTGAAATGGAGGAAGTAATAGTTTAAGGCCTGTCCCATCCTAAGGTACAACATAAAAATAATTATTAAGTAATGATTGTAGTTTTCCCCTTTAAAATGGTGAAATTTTAAATTAGAAAGACAAGTTTTGATTTTTAATTCAAAACAAATTAATGAAAAACTTATACATGTCATTTACCAATTATCATTAAAAAATTTAAATTCATCTTTTTAAAAACAAAAGATAGTAATTATTATTCAATAATTATTTTTTAAATTATTGTTAATAATTTAAATAATTCAATCGTAATAGTTTTATTCTAATAAAAAAGATTTTAAATTCAAATTGTATAATATTCAAATAAAACAAGTTAAAAAATGACAAAATATTGATTCCATTGGCAATCAAAAATAAAAAATAATAATAATTTACTTTTTATCATGTGTTCTTAAGACACAATATTGACAAATGAATAGTTTAAATACAATAAATATTAGATAATCATTTTCAAGTGATTGATAATAATTGAATGAAAAAAAGGAAAAAAGAGATTGATAATAATTATTCTTTTTAATATAAATATTTTTATTCATTCAAAATTTTAAGTGTATCAAACATTTATTTTTATACATCTAATAATAAACTATATAAGAAGAGATATCATTTAAAAAAAATTATTTAATTTAAAGTTCAAACATGAAATTTTTAATTTAAAATCTTAGCCTATTAACTAGTTGAACCACTTACTTTAAGGCATCAAATGCCTTTCTAACCCTTGATAATTTTGATTTTTTTTTGTATATTACTTTGTCACCATACCTATGGGAAGCTAATTTTTTGTTTTTTTTTTAATAGCAAATTTTTATTAATAAAGAGTACAAGGGGTACTCAACCGATATACTTACACCAAGTAACACAAACACTCCAGCTCTTTAATGTTAATCCCATCTTTCAGACCATTCCATTCCTATCCTTTTCCCCCACAATTAATAGTAAAGCATGCAATAGGATTGATTAACCAATCTGAAAGATTAAAGTAACACTTGGCCTTTCTAGCTTTAATCTGTGCAAAAGATCTCAGCTGAACAAGTTCAAGCAGCTTACCCGTATTCACCTCTTGGTTATGAAAAATCTTTCTATTCCACATGAGCCAAACAGACCAAACTATTGCATTCCAGATGCAATCCCATCCTTTTTTGATGCATGTGTCTTTGGTCCATGCCCCAAGCTAGTCGAATGTCTTCCAACAGTCATTATCTATCTTTATATTGATCCCCCACCATCTAGCACACTCCTTCCATAACCATTTAGCTATTATGCACTTCAAAAACAAATGGATTGTATCTTCAACCTCTTCCTCGCAAAAAGCACACTTGCCATCTCCTATGTTTTTGTTAATCCCTCTTTTCATCAAGTTGGACTTAGTTGGAATTTTATCGAGCAATAACTGCTAGTTGAATGCAGAAATTTTCCTTGCGATATTGCGATTCCATACTCTCTTAAAAATTTGTGCTTTAGTCAGATTCCTTTTCTCCTTTATCAAAAGTGAGTACGCAGTTAGAGTTGAATAATGACAATCCTTGCTATGAAGCCACGCCCATTTATCAGGGTAGCCGAGAGATACCTTCACTTCCTCAATCATTTTACTAAGTTCCATGATAGCCTTTTCTTCTCATTCAAAAGCAGATTTCTTCTCCATGTGAGGTTCCATTTCCATGTTCCATTGTACATATTGCCCATTTGATAACATTCTTTTTCCTTTCCTGTAGATAAAAAATACAATCTCAAAAGTCTATTAGCAAGACAACCCTCCCCACACCACTCATCCAACTAGAAACTCACACATTTCCCCTCCCCTAACTTCAATCTAAAACCCTCCGATAACCACCCTGCATTCTCCCCCTCCACATTATTAATACCTCGGAAGCTAATTTTTTGTCCTTAAATATTTCAAAAACAAATAGTACTCTTTATTATCTATAGCTCAATTTTGGGAGTTTTTATTTAAATGTATATACGCACATTTTAGTAATGAAAAAATATTTTATAATTAGAATGATAAAATATTAATTATTAAATTAAAAAGTCTTAATATTTAGATAAAATTTTTCATCTAATATTAATTAATATTTTATAATTTAATATACTCATATGAGAAAACACTAGTAAATTTTTATATAATTATAGGATCAAGTTCTCCTTTTTGGCATATATATTAAAAATCAATCTTTTTCTATCTAATCACCCACCCAACAATCCTTTAATTCACTTGGACGAGTATTACTGCTTCCCCACTTAAGTTGTACGGTAACAGGGACAAGTTAAACAAGTTACAGACGGAACGAAAATGGACTTGATTTTTGCTGTCATGTTCCATCATAAAAGTAACACCAGTGATACAGTGAACGAAAAAATTTAGTGAGAGATGGGA